TCTTCTCTCTCTCTCTCTCTCTCTCTCTCTCTCTCTCTCTCTCTTTCTGTCTCTCTCTCTTTCCCTTTCTTTATTTTCCTTTCTTTTTTCTATAATTAATAATATAATTAATAACATTAATAACAATCAACTTATAATCATATTCAATATTCAATAATAATATCAATAAAATTTTGACAAAGTAAAAAATTATAGTGTCCATTTATTTCTAATATAAATATTTAATTACGATAATTAAATATAATAAATGAAGAAAATTGAAAAAATTTTATAATAAAAAATGATAAGCAGAAATATATTAATATATTATACTTTCTGTTAGAATATTTCCTTGTTTAAATTAATTAAATATCATACCAAATTTATTCAGAAAAATTTAACAAATTTAGCAGTTCTCGATTTTTTACACATAACATCTTATTTTATCTTCCTCACAGATTACTAAGATATGATCAGATGTACTCTTTTGAAGAAATCATATGCTCTTTTTGAATTAGAAGAGAATACAAATACTATTGACTTCTTTTAATTTTTTTTTTGTGAATTCTGTGTCTCTTTTTCTGTCCTTTGCAATTCGAGCAAATTTGAATATAATAGAATTGTATGACAAAATGATTAATACTACATCTAATTACAACTAAGAAATAAAAAAATTAAGTAACAAAAGTAATAAAAATTTATCTTGAAAAATGTAATTTTCCATATTGATCTTTTGATTTAAATTGAAAACGAGATTGCCAACAGATGGTATATATAAAACGGGCTGCGTAAAATTTAAATTATTTGCATTTGAAGAATGCAAAAATGCTGCTTTATCAGATTATAAAATATTCCTAGACTATGTTGATAAAACCTTAAATTATTCATCCACCCTAGGCATACAGTTTGCCTGTGACTGATAGACTGCAAGTAAATTTACCATGATCAGAGAAAAGCATGCGGTCATCTCGGTCTTTTTCATGGAACCGTCAAAAGTACTCCACTGTACCAATTATCACCAGTACGTCCATTTTTTAATTTAAGACTGTGTACCTTCATCTATTTTCTGATGCTGCCAATAAAATCGCATTCTGATATATACCTCTGATATGTTGCATCAAGGATCAAGAAATTATGCTTATATAATTATACACTACAGCAAAATTTTTTGTATATATAATATATATAAATAAATAAATAAATAAATATATATATATATATACAAAATTAAAACTAAAATAATGCCAACCATTATCATCAATATAGATTTTCAATTTGAATATTGTTTTTTAGTAATGTAATAATATACAATTTGTATAACATGTGCATGAATTTTTAGTGCTAATTATCCTTTAAATGATAATGACAAGTGGTAATGATAAATGGTATTTAAAATATTTATATTACACTTATACAAAAGATATAAAAAAAGTAAAAAAATACAGTTTAACATATATACTATATTTAATTTATTAAAATTTATTACAATAAGTTCTACATTAAATTATGCTTAATTTCGTAAAAATTATACATAAATCATTGTTTATATATAAATAAAATTAAGAAATTTAGTAAAACAATTATCTAAATATAATTAAATTCAATGAAAAATTTTGTACGTTAAATGCTAGAGTTTTATAAAAGCATATAATTATTTTTAATCTATACTATTTTAAGAAATGGACAATACCTTTAAAATTGTTTAAAAATGTATATAAAACAATATTTACAGAGCAAAAGGATTTATATATGTTTATCATATAAATAAAATTTAAATAGAATTTCGATAATATATTAAAAATAAGCAATATTAGGTTGCTTTTCAACAATATAAACATTTATCGTAATTTATAAATGCATGTTAGATTTTTCTTTTAATTTTAGTCCTCCTAATAAGTGATCCATTAATTTCCATAAAATAATGAATCAATATTTTTCCACAAATAATACAAATTAATATTATACATATAAACAAATTCATTTATATAATTTGCTGTCTTATCATTTTAAAATTTAGAAAAGCATAAACCCTTTTTAGGATATTCATTAAGGGGTTTTAATAAAGGATATAAAGTTTGATTATTTTTAAATGACACAATATTAATTTTCTTAATTTCTTCATCGACTGATGAATCAACTTGCTCAATTATATTACGGACGGAATCTTCTGATATATCTTTTGATATATCCGATATATGTATTGATAATTTAGCGTATTGCGCTTTGTTATATACATTTTTCTAAAATATTGTATAAATATATGATTAATTTTTCAACCTTTATAAAAAGTAATTTATAAAAGTTAACTTTTAAAAAAGTTGTGTTTTACTTTGTATACAGAAATTATATTTTATATTTTTCATTCATTTTTTTATGAATAAAATGTATTTTTTTCTGATTTGAGTTATATGCATTGCATGTAAAATAAAATGTAAAAGATAATAAATGATTACCTTATAAAAATTAAGTAGTTGCTGGCGTGTTACTGTCTTCAAGTAAGATACTTCGATATTTACTCGATTGAAGTTATATTGTTGGGTTATAATTTCATTCCAATATAAAGTACTTTGTGCACTCAACGTTTTCGGTTTCTCCAAATATGATACAGCCACAGCTTCCTTGTATTTTTCAAACTGCTCTTCAGGCATGGTAGTTATATAATCCTAATTATAGTAATATTAATAGTATATAGCAATAGAAATATAATTTTATAACATAATAAATAGATTAATATTGATTTAATCACGATAGCATAGAATATGTGATAAATATGAAAAAAGAAAAAGTGTTCTTATATTTTAATTAATATACTATAATATGCATTATTTCATTATTATTATATAAGTCATTACTTACCAACATGGAGTCTATAAACAAATTAATCCTCTTTTCGATATATTGTGGCTGCTTGTCACTTTGAATTAAAATTTTCAGACCTTGCACATTGATTGTTTTATGAACAGTAGTATACATTGCATACCCTAATTGCTCCTTAGTTCTTAAAGTGTTATAGAAAGGCTGAGAAATAATTTGTACCAAGAGATCTAAGAGTACATTTGACTCTGTTGACTGTAAACCAATCTGATAATATACAATTGCACAAGAGTTTTTCAGTGACGTATCTTTTATTTCATATAGAAAATGACCTACAATAAACATTATATAATATTGTATAATATGAATAATATTAATTATCTTGGCGAAGAGGAGAGGATGAGACAATTAATTTTTGAAACAAAAACTTCATTACAAATTACAAATAAAATAAAAATTAGGCTTATTTCTTTTTTACTACTATACAGTGAAGAAATTAATATAAAAATTTAGATTAAGCAACATATTAATATGAATTTGTCATTTCTAATAATTACTACATTTATATTAGAATCAGTATGTACTGATTCTAGTATAAACCTTTTTTATATTAATTTCTTCAAATTTGTTATAATGAGATTATGTTGTGCATACTTACCATTTTCTAGTTTAAATTG